AAACCTTGGTTTTACTTCTCTGTTGTTGCCTTATTTGATTATTGTTTTGTTCCATTTCCACGGCAATCTGCATCCAATGTGATGGATCTTTAGGCTGGGCTGTTACGAGATAATTTTTCCAATCTAATGGCAATCCATCCGTTAACATTTTTAGCTTCTCGACATTATTGAGGCTTGTTTGATTTAATAATCTAATTTTATCTCTAAAATAATCTTCCACAGTTTCTTCTCTTTTAAGTCTTCTTTTTGATGCTGCAACTATAGGGCTTTCAACTTTATAACCAAAGCGCTGAATTAATTTGAGTTTAACAGTATCCCATTTTTTAATGGATGCGTTGCTCAATATTTCATCAGCAAACCATTCTAAAGCATCTTTTGATAAATAATAAATTAGACTATTGATTCTATCAACTTCATCTAGTTTACCAGTTTCCAATTCATATAGTTTAAGCCATGATTCAGGCCGAATTGAACCTTTATCACCGCTAAATTTCTCTAATTTGTTTACATTAGCTGCCATTGTACTTACTTTTTCTTTCGTCGAAGCCTTTTTTTTATTTATATTTTAATCCTTTCGTAGCTGCGCCAAATATTTTATGTAACGTTTTATTTTTGCTTTAACTTTTAAAGAAATGTTTTATTTTAAAGCCTTATCTAATTTGTTTGTTTGTTTTAAATAAAGAGGCAAATTTACCACGTTGTTGTTCTTTTGTTTATTTATCGTTCTTTTTTTTAATGATGATAAAAGTTATTGATTACATATTAAAAATCAATGAAAAATTAATTACAAAATTAATTACAAAATTCAGAAACGTGTCAATATATACTTTATTTATTTGAAATAAAAAGATCATTCTGTATAACAAAGAATACTCTTATAACCATGTTTCATGATTTTTCAGGATGTTTAATAGAGCAGTTTTTCTTGGCGCCGTTGAGGAACAGCTTGCACCATACTTATGAGGGCAAACAACTTGGTTATCTAATCTTGCTTGATCAAGGTATTTTGCTAATTCTGGAATAATTAAAATCAACGTTTAGTTTATATATTCATTCCGACAGATGGCGCAAGAAATCAGCAACTTTTAGTTGAGCGATCAGGAGATGCCTTTTTTTAAAGAATATTCTTAAAAACCTTCCCCAATGGCAGCTCATTGTTCCAGATTTCATGAGGAAGACCAAATATAAGCTTCACACACATGCCTATATTACTACATCAAATAGAAATTTACAAGAATCCTTTTGATCCCTTAACAGATAAGAGCTACGTGTACCACCAGTTCTACAGCTCGGCGGGAAATCTGAGAATATCTCTAGAAAAAGAAGACTAGGAAACCTGTAATGGTTGTCATACCTCTACCCTACAAGACTGTAAACAGCTGATTGTCTATTTACCTGTTGTCGTAACTCACTCTCAAACTGTGGGATGAGTCTATGGAAGACAAGATGTCTTAATAAAAGGCTTCTGTAGTTGTTGATACTTATAATTTCTGTACATATACACTCATGGACAAAATCTAAGGAAGTGAAAAGTCTTTGATTTTGCCTGTCATCTGCTTTTTTTTAAGGAGACAGAGGCAATTTCGTTCACACTTGGTTATCCCGTGTGTCTTCAATAAATGTCACTATGTATATAATATCTTTCAGAGTTATTGTCTGAATCCCAATATGCACTGAAAAAGGTACAACTTCCTAAGTTTTACATGAGTGTATATTGGTTATCTCGTGTGTCTTCAATGAAGGTCACTGTAATATCAGAGTTATTGTCTAAATCCCGATATGCACGCTAAAAGGTACAACTTTCTTAAGGTTTGTCCATGAGCTATTTTGCTCCCTATTTTATCAAACACACAAACCTTCAAGCTCCCCAGTTGGGAAACCGAGGAGAAATTTCCGGCCCGACAAGAGAGGACAGGTCTCATGAGAGTAAACAGATAATTTGAAAGTGTTTTTCTATTTTCCTCAGCAATCCTTTACTGTGAGCCACTTGAGATTGCTTAGGTAGTTCATACCATGAGAGAGAGAGATTGAAAGTACTTTATTACAAAGTCCATATATTAAGGTCATATGAGATTATGTATGTAATTGGGTTGGCCAAATATCTCGGAGCAAGCTAAATAAACGTTTAGTTTATTTTTGCCTCTCTAGATGACGCTCTGCCATCTAAAAAGCACATGTGCTCGTGGTCAGGAGATGCCTTCTTTATTTTTAATATCAACACCTGACCCACTTATCTTTTATTTTTTTCTATTGTTTTTTCATGAGATTAAATATATAATTGAATAAATATGAAGAGAGATATGTAGTTTATTTATATTTGACATATAACGACTTTTTATTACATACTTCATTACATAAATTAGTTTTATAAGAATAAATAAACTCTTGAAACAACCATGTAGCTTTAATTTCAACATATCAATCCCCACCATTAATAGAAAGACAGTAATGGTCAAGCTTCACAGAATATCGAGATGTGATGTTGACACCGAAGGATTAGAAAACCATGGATTGACAAACTAACTAACGAAGTTAATCTAAAAGTTACCGAGGAGATATAGAGCTTAGAGGGGGGGATTGAGAATAGAAAAACGAGTTTGGACAACTTGTATGACGGTCGGAGTGATTAACGTTATTACTTTTAGATATAATAACCAAACGGGGCTCTGGAACATTTGTAAGTGCCAAGTCGAACTGCTTTTCACATGTGTAGACATGTGGTGTACCTACAGTAAAATCAGTCGCTAACTACCCACCAAGATTATCATGGCCTGTACCACGTGTACTAGGGATAAGCAAAAAAACTGTTGAATTTTATATCATTAAAATATTCATTTTTATTCTTTAATTATAATAATCTGTCACTTTTGATAATCTGTGGTGTTGATCATGTATATATATATTTGAGCTAATATAGATTTCGGAAGAGATATGTGAGGTAATTTATATAAATATTAATAGAGAGATGGGTTAATTTTTCCAAGTAAGAGGCTCTGACTTAGATATATATAGATATTTTCGTTCATTCTTCAGTTTGTTCCTTCAATAAAGGAGATCTTTATTATAAAAGAGTAATAATTACGATCCATCTAAGAATTTCTAGAGGAATATATAGGAAAAGAGATTTGGCTCAAAATATCGAAAATAGAATTCGTGGACAATTTCGCAAAAAAAAAAAAGCCCCTACAATGCCATCAAAATCTGGCTCTAATTAGTACATTCTGAGGATATAAGAATGCTTATAACCATTACTATATGGCTTGAAGAGAAATAAAAACCAATTCCATCAAACCCTTCTTACATATAATGTTAAGGGGGTCGGTGGAAGGATGGTCTAAACCGTTGGTTTTCGACCACTACAACCCGGGATTGAATTCCGCATTGGGCAATTTTTATAATAAAAAAATGCCTAATGGCCTCCGATACTTGCAAAAGTCCAACGCCACCAGCGAGTGCAAGTAACCAAAGTGCAAATTCGAACTGCTTTCACATATGTAGACATGTGGTGCACTTACAGTAAAAGCAGTCGCTAACTTCAACCCACCATGATTATCATGGCTTGTACCACGTGTACTAGAGATAACTAAAAAAATGTTAATTACACCAGGACAATAAATCCTTTTTCTAGCTCTTTCACGTGTGATTGGTTCCATAGACATGACATCATATCACGCTCTGAAGCATGATAATCAGTGTTAACCTATTAAAACCCAATTCTAACAAATAAAATCTAAACCAGAGTACAATTAAACGTCCATTTATAAACAATTTAAAGTCTATTATTATTATTATGCATTTTTAATTAGTTTAAACTCCATTTTTCATCAATCAAAGCTAAAAATACACTTTTTTCTCCAAAATTTCCCCTATTCATTTATCTTTACGTTAATTTAGTAAAAATTAATAAAGCTAGCGCTCCCTTAATTTAATTTTAATATCTTTTAATTGTTTTTCATGAAGAATAAGGAGACGTAGAGGTTATACATCATTTGTTGAGTTTTTTTTTTTATTAACACCGTAATTTAAGTTTGAATAGTCATAATTATTGCTTGTATTCCCCATTAGGCCTAAAATTAGGCATCGTCTGCTTTTAAAAATTTCTTTTGATTTGAAATTTAAGCCTAATCCATTCTTGGCGCGTACTTTGCTTTTTTACTTAGTCATTTACTTTGCAGCCCATGGTTAAATTTCACTATAATTAACAAGATCAATTAATTCTTAATTGCAGTTTTTTTAATGTTTCTTCTGGTAATAAATATTTATTTAAAATGGCTTTAATTTTAACTCTGGATTTTGAAATGATTTATTAACGTTAATTATGCTTTTTGTAAAAGAATGTTCTTTGTTTTTCGCCATTCGCCATTCAAATGTTAATCCCACACTTTAAAAGGTATTTATGAAGAATATTTAATGAGTTTTGGATTTAGCTTATGAATTTTATTCAATATATTTCTAATATAGTAAAATATAATGAAAGTATATGATACATTTTCCTCTTTGATCAATATTTTGGTATAGCTTAGCGTGTTCATGCAAATTTGGCTTTGAATACATTTTCCTTAATTCCCTAGGATCAGCTTATTTGGCCGTTTTGTTACAGCCTGCACCACGCAGAAGAGAGCAAACAGCCAGAAACGCGTACGTGGTTGGATTTTTCATAATTTAACAAGAAAATGTTTTTATTGAAAATTTTGTAATGTAAAGATTGTTTGTCTCGAGCCTTTTAGATGTTCTTTCGACCCCTTCTTGGATATTTCCATTTACATCCTGTGAAAGATTGAATAATAAAATATGGTACATATTCGTGTTCTGTCTGTATGATGTTTGTTTACACACACATATATATTTGTAGAACGAAGTTTGACAATTATACGGCAAATGTTTCTTTCGAACGAAAAATCGAAATTTAATTTTAGGAGAAATAACGACTATTTCGATTCTTAGGGATGAAGTATCAAAGGATGAATTGTGAAGAGTAATGATGAACGGAAAAATAAAAGTGTCCAGGGATGGGAATCGAACCCACAGTTTTCCGCTTACCGGGCAGATGCCATGTCCACTAGGCTTTTAGGCACTTTTATTTTATTTTTCCGTTTATCATTACTCTTCACAATTCATCCTTTCATACTTCATCCCTAAGGTTAGAAATAATCGTTATTTCTCCTTAAAATAAATCTTGAATTTTCGTTCAAAAGAAACATTTGCGGTATAGTTGTCAAACTTCGTTATACAATCATAAGCCGCATTATATTGTATTACATATTGATATATTCAAATAGGTAGGATTACAATCATAATTCAACCTATGCAAATAACACTTGGTAATAGCTAATAATATATGATAAATGCCTAATTTATATTGACAATAAGACAGAATGCTATCCTTGAAAAATTAGAATGAAGACAGCCTGTATACCATGATATCTGGTTATAGCCCTGTATAGACTTTCCTAACATTCAATTGGAGGTATTATTTAATACGACAATCTGCTGAAATTTGGTGTTTTAATTAGACAAATGGTATAACATCTTACAATTTTAAGACCAGAAGTCATTTTTATTTTGAGGTATAATAATAATCATTGGCCAAATTGGCTATTTTTACTCTATATAACAAATGAAAACATTAAGACGCGATTTTTTCTTTCAACAAATTAATCAAATTTCTACTGTCCTTACTGCGATGAAGAAAATATTGGGAGGGCTTGGCTTATCAGTGGTGAAATCTCCCAGCGATTTCGCCAATTTAATCTACCAGACCGCTTCTTTAGAGCTCTAATACTGTATTGGATCATTCTACTTATAAATGCTAAAAGAGGTGGTATTTAGGTAAACTATGGGAATAAGCTTTTAGGACAGTAGAATTACATTTAAATGCGTTATATTGCTTTGTATTAATAATTTCACTATGTAAAAATGCAACAAAAATACATTTTCTCTATATATATTCTGTATAAAAAACAACAGAAAAATATCCAGAATGGATACAGACAAAATGACTAACCGAATTAACAAGAAGAACAACCAAGCAAGGGATAAGAATGAAGAATAAAAGATGAAGACAAGTTTGGGCAGAGCTATTGAAGGAAACAGTTCCCCTTTGTTGAACTCCAAGCCCGGAGGCGAGGCAAAACTATGTGTGTCCAGCGGAATAATAAAATTCAACTTTTTATACAAAGCTATATAGGAAAATGGCCATATGTCTTACTTGGATATATAGGGGTTCTCTGAGGAATAACTTTGTGAGAATTTCTTTTCAATTCTCTATATTCTCAGAGAGAAAATACTTTATAATGAAAATTGCAGATATCGACGCATTCCCTTTCGAGTTTTTGTTATAGAGAATGTAGAAAAATAGTATATGTGTGTGTGTTTTTATTAATTAACAATATATTAAAATTGGACACTATTATAGACGCGTATGATTCTTTTTTTTTAAATAAACAATTTTTACTGTCTTTACTGCAATGGAAAAATTAATGGGAGGGCCTGGCTCATCAGTGGTGAACCCTCCCAGCGGTTTCGCCAGTTCAAATGGTAGATTAAACTGGCGAAACCGCTGGGAAGGTTCACCACTGATGAGCCAGTGTTCCTCACATTAATTTTTACATTGCAGTAAAGGCAGTAAAAATTGTTTATTTCTAAAAAAGAATCATACGCGTCTATAATAGTTACCAAATTTGATAACAGATGGCGCGCTAATGTATCATAATTAACAATATATTGCTGAAGATATTTTCCTTATAAATTTTCAATTTGTAAAAGTTTATAAAGCATTTTAAGAGTGAATTCGTCACTTTTAAAAATTAGTTTGTCGTTTGTGTTGGCAGTTGTAATAGCACAAATTTCGTTGATTTTTTACATGAGTTTGATGAAATTGTAGCCACGCAATATAGATTTAATGTTTCTTTATGGATAATGTAAGAACGCACACATCCGCAGAAGCATCTGTTAGTCTGCTAAGAAGCAGCGTGAAGTTTTTGTCACCATATTCATATATGCTAAATCCAATCGAATTTTCATTTAGCAAAATTAAAACATTGGTAAGGTCGCTGCTTCCTCGACATCACGTTAGGTTATCACTGATGTAGCAATCAGTAGAATTACATCAGGAGACTGTGAAGTATGGTTTGCTCGCATTCGTAAAAATTGCTTCCAGGCCACACAAGAACACCAGTTTATCCCATAAAATCTGTTTCAAATTTATTTCGTGGTTATTTGCTTCTATATTAGTGTTTTGGATTTAATATCAAATGCATTCAGTCAATCCTTTTGATTATCGTAAAGATAGAGGCTGCCTGGCCGGCATTCATAGTTCTTAAAGTTAAAGACACTTCGACCAGTAAATCTTTTTAATGAACAATTCTGGTGATGCGAGTAATTATATATTTATACCCTCTTCAAGACTTTATCTAATAGATGCGTTAAATATAGCATTTCATGAGTGAATTCATCACTTTTAAAAAGGAATTCGTTACTTTTCAAAGTGAGTTCGTCCCTTTTAAAAATAAGATTTCTATGTGTAAAAATTAAAAGATTTACTGTAAAAAGATTTACTTGCCGAAGTGTATTTTATATTTGAAGAAATAAATCTTTTTGATATTGTCTTTTAATTTTTACACATAGAAATCTTATTTTTAAAAGGGACGAACTCACTTTGAAAAGTAACGAATTCATTTATAAAAGTGATGAATTCACTCTTGAAATGCTATATGTAACGCATCTATTAAACAAAGCTTTGAAAACAGTAGAAATATATATCTACTTGCATCCCCAGAAATGTTCATAACTTACAAAAGACTAGTTAGGCATAAATTAAACATAAAGCATTATCGCGCCATTTATTTATAAGATTAGAAATTATTTAGAATCCAAATAGCAAGATAGATAAACAGTGTATATCAAATAGCTACATTCGAAGAAAGACAAAAGGGCAATATAGACGTAACAGACGCCAATTATCTGATATTACCGCAGCAGACGACGATCGAAAATTGAGTAATCGTTTGGCACGATATTCAATCGTCTGCTAACGATAGATACTGTCGCCACCTACCGTCAAGTGATGACGTCATAGAACTCTTTTAAACTTTTCTTTTGGTGATACACTTATTATATAGACATGTACGCAAATATATAATATGAATTACCCTCTTTCATAATTTTAGACATATATGTGTTATTTTCAATCTGAGAAGGAATTTACATATTCAAGATATATATGTGTATATATGATAATAATGTAAAATCACGGAAGGATAGTATTAATTTAATAAAAAAAGAATTTATTAATTCAAAAAAGCATTAGAACAAAGCTGTTCTCGATCTTTTCTGTGCAAAGCGCGTCGATTTTAGATAGGTTACTTTGGACAACTAAACACTGGGTATGAAAAAATCTAACAAAAGGTCAAACTTTACATGTATAAATAAGTACTAATATACAGTATGTATATATGGTAATTTAAACCAACAACCTCATATTGTATATAACTTATAACAAGATTTTCATGTTGTTTAATAGAACACATCTGTAAATGATTATACGCATGATTGACATGTGTCATTACATCATCATATGTAATGCACTTTGTACAAACTGAGGATAAATAAATAAAACTCTGTAATAGATTAAGAGTTGAGCTAAAGCAGAGATCGAAATGTAGTAGTTACAAAACAACAAAGGTCTAAAGATGGAAATGCTACGGCGCCAGTTTAGAATTTCACCAGACGATCCACGCCCCTGTCACATAAGGCCCCCGTCTTAACCTATGAATACAGCCACTTGACAGTCACTTCACCATCTGCGTGAGCCCTCGTCGGTTGTTCCCCAGGTCCACCTCATCCACCATGTAGTCAGTAAGAACTCTTCCATCTCGATCTTTCGCTCCTATCTCAATTTTTATCTGTTCACGGAACTTTCTTAGTGCAACTGTGTCTTCGTGTTTTGTGTGGACATCCCCAAGCTTTCCACTCTGCCTCGACCACGACTGCCTGTACTCTGTGAGAACTTTTAAAGGTCTTCCAAGGTGCAGAGAGGTACTGGAAAACTCCACATCCTGACTGTTCCTCTCGGTCAACACAGTATAGCGAGAGTTGACAGGGACTCACACCACAGTTTAATTCGACTGGATACCTCATCACAGATTTAGTCGACAGGATTCTACAAGAGTCAACAGTAACTCATTACATATACTTATAAATATGAAGGTCTCTTGTCCCGTTAAAAAACTAAGCGCTATCTATACACCTACTCTACAAACTAGTGGACTCGGTTCGGTGACAAAGCAACGACACCATTTTTGGCAAACTGAGAAGTGTTCACCTAGAGACCGTGGTTTCGGTATGAAGGTTTTTGTCAGTCCAGGACGGACTTTATTCCATGAGATCCACAAGGTATAAAGTCCGCCCTAGACTGACGAGGGCTATTGGAGCTAAACAATTAACACTATGTGGACGCTTCTCAGTTTGGCTTCTCTTGTGTGTTTAACACATTTTGACTTTCAAATATTATTAATAAAATATTTCGTGAATCACACATCTCCTTTTATACATATTCATTTTAAGTATAACTCACAAATACAATATTGGTATAACGACATTTGAAAATATGCCGCATGTGTTTCTTTTAAAGAAAAATCGAAATTTATTATAAGGAGAAATAACGATTATTTCTAACTTTAGGGATGAAGTATGAAAGGATGAATTGTGAAGAGTAATGATAAACGGAAAAATAAAAGTGTCCAGGGATGGGAATCGAACCTCATCCTAAAGGTTAGAAATAATCGTTATTTCTCCTTATAATAAATTTCGATTTTTCTTTAAAAGAAACACATGCGGTATATTTTCAAATGTCGTTCTACAATCATAGGCCGCATTATATTGTGCAATATTGATATGTCACACGTGGTGTTCAGGTAAAAACACAGGAAAACTACGAAGTTGAAAAAATGTAATTAGGGACGAAAAACAACCATTAAATTACTGGATAAAATAATTCAGTTAAGAACTAAAGAGAAAAATTATCCCTGTTTTATTAATTCCCTCCCCTCCATACAAGAAACTTAATAAAATCA